CATTTCCCCTGCCAAGCAGCCTCTCTCGCTTATCTGGTAAATTGTCAAAAACTTTTTACCCATCGCTTTTTGCTGTTTTATAAATAACTCTCAACAGCACAGAGCTGGGAACATAATTCAATAAAACAAAAACTTGTGGTCTACGGTCCTCCCCCCAAACAACAATAAAAACACACCCCCACAAAAAGGAAAACCACTCGAATGCATCCCCACACACACATACATTAGCAAATGAAGCCAATAAATGAAAACCTCGAAAAGCTCGAAATAGACAGGGGAAATGTTTATTTTTAACATGGTTAATTCAACCAAATTAGGTCTAATTCTTGTGGTCAGGTCCTGGAAAAATGGGGTCAACTGGAAAGAGAGGGGCTTGGCCGGACAAAACGAACGAGTGTGGGAGAGGTGTCCTAAATTAGCTGGCCATTAATTAGGCAGACAAAACCAGGCAGGATGGTTGGACAGATCCATAAAGTTATAAACAACAGCATTAGGTTTCCCCTAACTTTGCGTGTTTCGCTGACTAAAAGAGAGAGAATATAACCCCTCAAGGTGGCGATGGATGGTGCAATTTACATTGTTAACTAAGTTTTAAGTTGGCAACAATCATGCAATTCTTGTCAGCTCTATCTCAGCCTCAGCTCTTTTTTTCTTTGCTCATTCAATTCAATTTTCGCGGCAGTTGCAATTGCAGCCGCGGAAGGTTGCTAAATTACACAACTAGAGAGAGGTTAAAACCCCAGAGAGAACGTCGTCGTGACAAGGTAGAAAAAACGTTACAGTAATGTTTTTTTTTTCTTTTTCTGTAATTGGCATTAATTCTTATTTAATATGCATAAGAAATTGTAAACACCACAGTTATATGAAGTTACCTTGTACTATTTGTAGTAGATTGTAAATAAGTTAAAATATAAAGAAAGTTAAATATTCTATATACTCCTAAGTTTAACAGATATTATTTCTTCCTAACTTCAAGCATTTTTTTGCTTAGAAGCCAAGATATTTCACGTATTTCTTAGACTTTACGGGGGGCTAAAACCTCGCCTAGACAGACATTCAATGAGATGTTCATAACAAATGTATGTTAATGCCTGCAGCCTTTTACATATTTATCGATCGGTGGAAAAGGAGGCGGATCTGGCGGGGATTGAGCGCTGCTTGCGGGATTGAGAGGGTTGACACGGAGTGGCCTCAAGTGGGGCAGCAGCAACCCACCCAGTGGATGTGGTGGTGTTGTATGTTATGTGATTTGAAAGCATGTTTTTTCTTCTGTTTCGTTTTTGTTTCGCCGTGGGTTACACAAAAACATTTCAAGTTGCTCCACAGGGTCTGTTTTTTTTTCGGTTTGCTGTCCGGACAAGTGGACAAAGTGGTCCGCAAGTGGTTGCATGGCCATTACATAGAGATAGAGAAAGAGGTGTGGGCTAAAACTCTGGCAAAGAATAGAGGGGGATCGTGGACCACTGCAGCTGTGTGGCCAACTATCAATTACTTAAATGCATAATTGCAGAAGCATTACGTTTACGTTGTGCAAAACCAAGTTCAATGGACTGGAATTTTATTCTTGGGATAATCAGATGAGTTTTTGGTATGCTATAATAGAATTCGTCTACAAAAGAACCAACTTATAAGTTTATTTTATGCACAACATCAAGTTCAAGTTACTCTGCCAACTAATTTCCGTACTGATTCCTTAACCCCTTTTCTCTCGGCCAAATTAGGCCGACAATTTAATTGCAATCAAGGTTCAGTGAACCCTGTAAAGATCAAATAAAAACCAAGCCACAAATGGTCGCATTAAGCTTAGCTTAATATCGCTTTTCTTCAGACAATAAAAACCGAATTGCCCCAGAGCCATGAACGATCGAATCCATGATCATTGATCAACCAAAAACCCAAGAAAAAAAAAAACAACAAACCTAATATGGCCAAACGGCAGTAGCAAAAAATAGAGAAAAAAAATATATATGAATAAATAAAAAAAATAAATACATATAGACCTGTAAGTATTAGTTTTGTCATTGTTGTAGTCTGTGAGACTATGTCTATAGGTTTCCATTGAAAAGTCGAACGAAAATGCCAGGCCAGAGATCCAAGATCCAAGATCATATGGGCAGAAAATTGAAGTCGTGTGCTAAACTTGCGCCAAATCAACACTGACGCAACAGATAAAGCCAGAGGGGAGAAATATATACAGATATACACACATATATAGGAGGGTTACGGGGAGTCTAGCTCCTAAACTTGATTTCGCCAGCTGCGCGTGGGTCTCCGAAAGATACAACAACAAGCGGCTTTGGTGGAGAGATCTGTGATCTCGATTCCGTTCAAAATAGTTTGTTTTTGTTGCAAAAGTTTTCCAAACAACTGCGAAAAATGTAAGACCGAGCCAAGTCCGCATAAAAAATAACGAGTGTCAAATATTCGTTTCTTTAATTAAGAATAATATGATGAATAACTCTTCTTATGTCAGCAATTGATGAAAAAATTTGAAGAGATCTGCGAGGTAGATTTCAGTCAGTTTTAGACATTTTTCTGTTAAAGAAATATAAATCCAAAATATGCAAGGATGTGACCCTATAGTTTAAATTTAATGCTTTCAATTTGTCAAATAGATTGATGGCAACTCTTTGAGCAAGAGGCTAATTAAGTCTGATAGTGGAACCAGACTTAAGCAATTGGTTTTATGGCCCCGAGTTTTTCCATAAATAAAATGCTCAAATGTGAGACAATAAATTGCGGGCGTAGAGTTCACTTTTGGGCATTCGCCGCCATTAACATAAAATCAAGATTTATATGAAAATTAACGCTCTTAAATGCTTGATATGCCATATAAATTCGAATATGGTTGTATCTTTAATTAAGAATAGCTCGCGCTGCATCTTTTGTTGCAAAAGCTTTTCCATAAATGCGCAAAAATTTGAGACAATAAATTTAAGGCGCAAGATTTTGGGCATTCAAGGAGGATTAGCATAATGGCCAGATTTGCATGAAAATTAACGCATTTAAATGCTCAAACTGTCAAATGGATACAACAAAAACAATGAACGACGGATTGTTTCTTTAATTAAGAATAATTTGTTGAAAAAGTTTCGTTTTGGCTGCATTTGACTAATTAAGATTATGCAAATGGCGCGTAGGCGAAAGTTGTATGATAGCGGATATGTATTTATATATTTTACGAGTTTTTAAGTCGCCGACAAATTGACGATTGCTTATTCTATGGAAATAAAAATTAAAACATTTAAAGCGGAAAGCGCAACTAAAAATAAACATGTGGGGAAGTCATAAAACAAAGACGTGCGGCCCTTCGTCATGTTTTCTTTATTCTCCCCAAGCTCCCCTTCGTTGTTGTCTTATGGGGATCTCGCCCTTTTGAGTGTACTAAAAATAATTCAAGATCGATAATTTCTCGTTTTAATATAACTATCAAAATGTATTCCTTTATACATTTTATTCTGTCTTGACAATGCCAAAAAGGTTTACTTTTAGAGCTAAAATTTATCAAATTTAAAATAAGTTGTCCTAAGTTTTATTTTATAATTGTTCCCAGTGTAGAAAATGACATGAAGCGCAACTGTTTCTGCAAGACAAAGAAGCAGAACAAGAAGAAGGAAGAGGAGCAGGCGGATACAGAGGAGGAAAAGGAGCCAAAACACTGGGAAGTCGGTGGAAATTAAATACGGTTTTGTTACCAGAAATTCCGCAACTAAAAATAAACAAATGAACGAAGCCCGAAGAAGATGCGAAGCACGCGACGCACAAAAGAGGGTGAAATTTGAATCCACAAAGTGAAGGAGAGGCGAAGGAGCAAAAATTAACAACAATACCAAGTAGAGCTGGGACCCCGCCAGCGATCGTTTTTTATTGAGGAAATAGTGCAAATAGAATTGTGATTTCTGCATATTTGCATAAATTGCGGCCATTGCGAGAATTGCAAAACGATTGGCGGACACGAAGAAAAACGATAAATGAGCGGCGGCGGGGGCAGACGGCAAAAAAAAAAACAACGGATAGCAACTTATCAGAAAACCTACACAGGCACGCGCACATACTCACACACACATCCAGAACCTAAGACAACAAAAGAAAAACAAAAGTCATTTGCCTTTTGTTTTGGTTTCTTTTGCCAAGCTCTCTTTCGTTCTTCTCTTCCTCTCTCCTACTCTTTGGGTCGCCGATCCGCACTGCACTTTGCCGATCAACGGTTCTTTGGCTTTTGGTATTTCCTGCTCGCTTGCACCTACACGACAGGCTCTGCAAAACCAGTTATTAAAAGCCATAAAAAGGAGAACCATTTAACTGTTAAAGGTGTCTCAGGTTGCTTTAGTTTTTTTTTTTTTGGTTGCGACTCTTGCCAGGTGTTTAACTCCGCCAGCTGTTTTGTTTGCATGCGAAAAAGTATTTTCGTATTTTCTGCAAATTGGAATTGTTTTTGGGTTGTTTGCTGCTGCTTCTGCGCAGGGTGGAAGCAGGACAGCACACACATACACGCACACACTCACTCGTGCACGCACACACCCCTGAAAATGCCGCTACTCCAGTGCAATTTACTTTTTGCTTATTTTGGTGTAAAATCGGAAATAAACCCAGGGAATTTTGGACGAAATTTTAGTTTAAACCAACTGGGAAGGATAGTCACCCCGCACCCCTCCCCCTGTTTTGTTTTGCGTGTGTGTTTTTTCAACTCCGGCGCAGCTTCGCTTTACTCTCTATATACAGCTTCCTTGTTTTTTTTTTTTATTAAATTTCTTTGCGCAAAAGGAGTGGCGTTGTCCAGGATTTTTCACACACACAATCACAAACACACCGTTATTGCGTATATACACACATGCATACATAGTCGGCGTCTCTTCAATTACACTGTTTTCTTGTATTTTTATTTTTTCGATAAACCTTTTCCGGCACTTTTGCCAATTTCAATTTGCAAAACTCGATTTGGTTTTTGGATTCCTTTTCAACGAACACACAATTGTAGTTTTATGGTTTTCTCCATTTACCTTTTAAAGAGCTTGTTGTTGTTTAGGCTTTTCGGTATACACAAATCCTTTTTTGCATTTAAATAATCGCACACCGCGGAGGCACAGACGCGTCGAGTTATTAAAATATGTTAATAATATTGATGCATGTTTATTTGCCCAGGCAAACATCCAAGTTTATATTATATATTCTTCGATTATTAATTAATTAATTTTTTGCTTGTTAATTACATGTTTTTAAAGCGGAGTCGCGCAGAAAACGTTATACTTGCAGTTAAAAAAGCTGTATCATAGTATGTTAAAAAATAACAATAAAGTTTACATTAATTTATTGGAGCCTGCTATTGAAACTAATCGCGAATTCATTTATTTTTCTCGAATTGATTAGGATCGTAGATAATGTAATATGCTTTGTAAAACACTTCAAATGTAAATATTAATTCTGTAACTTTTCGTCCGACCGACGCGACGCGGTACCGTTCATTCGCAATTTTTTTTTAAATGACAACAAAAAGCAGTGTGTTTGTTGATTTGTTGAATATCACCCTAAAAAATCTAGAGACATTTTCCCCTAAAAAAATCCACACCTGATACGCAAACCACACTTGATACTCAAACCACATCTGATACAACAACCTCTGGTCCCTAGATGAGAGTAACAGAATTTTCTGTTAAAATGAGAGTTAACAGAATTTTGCTTATGGACTTCCCAAATAGAAGGCAATTTAAAACCAGCTTATAGCCTTCAAAATTGTTTTTTTGTTATTATTCAGCTAGAAATATTGATGAAATTGTGCTTTACTATAAAACCGATCAAATAAATTAACTATTCGACAGTTCAAGTCATCATCAGGTAAACAAAAATACTATCTATGCAACTCTCTTATTTTCCTTAATTAAATGTTCATTCAGAATATTCTAGGAATAATATTGAAATAAAACAAAGAGAATTTGGAATTTAAAGTATTATTTCACACTGCCGCAATCATAGTAGAATTATACAAGGTAGTCCAGTCGGAAAAAATAAGCCCTAGTTCGACTCATCAAAGTGTGCGTGAGACGGGTATAGTCTCAAAGTTTGAGTGAAATGTCAATAGTATGTGTGTTAAACACACTATGTTTATAAGATTGTACATTGGGGCTTAAATTGTTCAATCTCTTTAAAGTTGTTGCTGAAGTGGAGTTTTATAAATAAAGGTCCCAAATTAAACGTTTTCCATTTCATTAAACCAGTTGTCTTTTTTATAACTTAAATTTTAATAATTTTGTGTTTGACATTTATGCAGAGACACCTCCAATTCCTTGTAGTTATTAACCTGCTGGCGTAATGAAACCATTTCATTTTTCAATATACGAATTTGGTTTTTTAGGCTCTCGTTCTCCATAAGTATTGACGATGGTATTGCTTTATTCCTTCAATACAAATATTTTGCTTGTATTAAGTATTTCCTAAGATCTCGGGAAACTTACTCTGTCTGCGAGCTTGCGTTGGCGTAGCCTAATCTTTCCGCTGGCTCAGGCATCTCCGGAACAGCATCACGGATCAGTCGCCTTCTTTTAGCAGGACTTTCTTCGCTAGGTATCTTCCATTGTGAAGAACTAAAATGCGTATCACAAATTCTAGTATTCCCATCAAGCCTGCATTTAAGAATTTCCTCCCACGTTTTTCGCCGAAATTCACATTTAGGTGTTCTTATCAATTTGGCTTTAACGTTTGTGCCACAAAAATTGCAGTAAGACATTTTATTTTATTTTTTTATTAGCTCAGATTGACAGGAATAAAATTTGTGCACACAATCTACTCAACCCATTGAGTTTATCTCAATGAATAAACATGAGCTGTCAAAATAAGCCCTAAAATTCAAACATTTGGGACCAGACTGGACTACCTTGTATAATTCTACTATGGCCGCAATAGTGATTTCACTATCGATAAACATCGATAAAACAGAATGCGGTCATACTGAAAACAACTTTAAACCGCGCCGGCTATTTGTTGCATTTATTTAGGAAATATAAGAAACTAAGCAATAATGCGAGTGCTAACAGAGCCCAATCACACTATCTCCTTGACCGAAGAGATCCTCTGCTACGAACTATGCGGCAACGAGTTCGCCTACAACCTGTTGGCCGTGGCACTGAAGGACCGCTTGCGCCTGCTCCTCGTTGGACTCCCGGAGGAGACCGGAGAGTTTGGGTACACACATCTGCTGGATCTGGAGCTGGACCGGGTTAAAAATGACGTTGTTGACGTCAGTGCCATCGCCTTTGCGCCGGACACATCGCTCAACTGCACGCCCAAAAATGTGACTCTATGCGCTGCCCGCGGCGATCTTCTGCACATCTTCCGCACCGATCTGGGCCAGTACAATACCGTGCATAAGCTGCAAGGCCACAAAGACTACATTAACGATATCGCCTGGGTCTGTGAGGGCAACCTGCTGGCCTCTGTAAGCGACGACTTCACCTGCCGCTTCTGGAGCACGGCCGACGAGCAAAATGTTATCACCTTCCGCTTGACATCCGCCGGAATGTCGGTCAAGGCCCATCCCGATGATCCCACCAAGGTGCTGGTGGCGGAGAAAAAAGGTGAGCTATCTCCAATTCCTTGTTCCGTGTGAAACCATGTAACCATGTCAACTCCCTGCAGGCATCATCCGACTGTACAATGTGAACAGCAAGCAGGCCGTCATCTCGGTGCAGTCGCCCAAATTTCCGCTCATGTCCGCCGATTGGGCATACAGCAACCGGTATTTTATTACGGCCCTGGCTGGAGGCGATGTGGTTACCTGGGACCTCACCAGACCCGTTGTGCCCGCCGATGTGAAGCAAGTGCATGAGGATGGCGGACGGTCGGTTCGCTTTGCCCCAGGAAGCTCGGAAATGGTACTCGCCAGCATCGGACGACCGGATGTGACGCTCAAAGTCTTTGCGGCCAAATCAACTATGCCATTAATCGAGGCCACCCTGAAGACGTTCGGTGGAATGGCATGGCACCAGAGATTGCCGTACATCAGCGCCGTTTCTGACCGGGATCTGCATTTCTGGAAGGTGCAAATGAAGTAGAGTTTATGCTTTAAAATAATAAAGTATAAATATTTTTTTATTTTGATTAGTTTTTAAATTAAGGAGGGAAATGACAATAGTGCGAAAATGCACTGTTGTAAAATATCATATGAAGAGGCTAGGAAATTGGAAAAAATCAAAGGAAATTAATACAACACAACCATTTATGTTACACCAGGACTATTAGTTGGGAAACATTGCTATTAAAATGTATATAAAAAACAAGTAAACATGTTATTGTTTTATGTATATATTTGTTTTGAAAGCTTTGTATCTAGGATATTTTAAGCATATGAATGATAGGCACAAGACCTTTTAAAACAAATTTTAGAACACTAATTTCTGCAGTGGAATAATATTTATTTCAAAAGAATTTCCATGATACCAAATAATGCCACTTTTGTATGCCAATTATTTCATATTTGTTACCACTTAAATAGGTTTATAACTTTGTCCACGACCATATCAGCGGCAAGGTATATGGCGATTTTTTTTGCCAATTTTGCTTTCCCACCGCCTTGACGCGGAACACCATCCACCAAAGTTTGGTTGGCCTTTTCCGCATTGTATTGTCTCACAATATCATTTGCTTGGGTTCGTTGTTCGGGGGTCAACTGGATCCGATCGCCGTACTTGTCGAGAAAAGTCTCTAGAAAATCGACATCGCTGTCACTGATGGAATGAGCAGAATCCTTTTTGAAGACATCAACCAAACGTGCACTATCGGATTCAAAGCTTCCTTGGACTGTCCATGTAAGGCTTCCGATGATGACCACCAGGCAGCTGGGTAAAAATGATCAAGCCTTTAAGCAAAACACATTAATTTATTATAATTTTGTATCCTTACCTCAGGTAGATTGTTGAATTCATCTTCTGAAGTTCTCGATCGATACGAATGCTTGGTCCAATGGGTGCTCTCCTTTTATAGAAGATCTGAGACGCGAAAACCCATCACACGCCGGAGTGGGATCATGGGTCTCCGCTTATCAGGTGACTTTACTTTCCAAGAATAGATGGCTGTTTTGATTAAAAATCAATTCAAAAATACAAAAATTTGGCTACTAACAAATACAAGTATTTATAAGCCGCAGGACTTCCTAGAATACATAAAAATAATAAACATAAATAATAATCTTGGAATTATTTTATTATATGTACATAAAAAGCAATAGAGTTCCTGGAAAATGACTATTGCATCATCACCTTTATGTATTTATTTGAATTTATTTATTTTATTTTTCAGGTTTTTGTAGAATACGAATTTAAAACGACATTTAACTATTTTTCCTAGCATACTTACGGGTAAAATCGAAAAATCAAATCAGTTAAAAGTCAAGACATTCCATTTACAATTACAATAGAATTGTAATGTCTTTGTCAAAGTGTATAACCGTATTCCCGCGTCATACAATACAAGACGATTATTGTTTATATATATAATTAAATCCATTTCATTCAAATGTTTTTAAATAGAACAAACTCTGACTCTTTGTTGGAAATGGAGTTCAAAGAAAACCAAGTCCCAAAAATTTGTGAACTAAAACGTTACGATAATTAAAATGCTTTTAATTGCTTTCAAAGTTACATAAGTGAAATATTAAAAACTTTAACCATAATAAAAAGTTTAGAAACCTAATCAATAAATAATCACAAAGCCACTTTGTTAAACATATTATTTTAAAATTTATAATAATTATTATTGTGTTTATAAATCTGTTAATTGAAGGTATTCGATGCCCAGTAGCAACTTGGTGTGGACTCTTAGATTTTTGCTCAACGTATCTTGCTCCGGAATACAACTTGTAATCTTTAAGATATCCAGATTGTCCCGTATCGCTCCACGGACACGGTCTCGTTAGATGAGTGTGAAGGAGATCTGATCGAAATATCTCTCAAGGAAAATCAGCAGAAATGACTCATTCTCCAGGGAAATAATATGTATATTAAAAATATTTCTATGATACCAAATAAGGAAAATAAATAAAGAGAAACCACTTCTGTTTGCCAATTTTTGCATATTTATTACGATCTGTTGGTCTTTAATAACATAAGTATATGTTATAAAAAAAGCTATCTCTAGTCCTTAGCTCCCGTAGCTTTTTTAATTCCCTCAGAGGCGAGTTCGATGCCCAATTGTATGACGATCGCCTTGACAAGTTTCGTTAACCAACCGCCCTGAGCTGGCACTCCTTCCACCAACGGTTGGTTGGCCTTCTCCGCATTGTATTGTCTGACAATATCATTAGCTCGGGTTCGTTGTTCGGGGGTTAACTGGATCTGATCGCCGTACTTGGCGAGAAAAGTCACTAGGAGATGGACATTGCTGTCCCTGACGGAATCTGGAGAAGCATTTCTGTAGGCATTAACCACATGAGCACTATCAGAATCAAAGCTTCCTTGGACTGTCCACGCGAAGCTTCCGATGATGACCACCAGGCAGCTGGGTAGAAATTATAAAGCCTTAAGAAAACACCTTGAATTATAATATATATTGATGATTACCTTAGGTATATTGTTGGACTCATCTTCTGAAGTTCTCGATCAATACGAATGCTTGGTCCAATGGGTGCTTTCCTTTTATAGGAGCTCTGTGAAGCGAAAAGTCATCATACGACGGACAGGGATCATGGGTCCCCGCTTATCAGGCGACTTTAATTTCTTGTGTTCCAAGAATTGATTATTGTTTTGATTAAACACAAACAATAAATATATAATTATAGCAATTGACCGATCCGTCATGTATATGTTTTCAAATACAAGTATTAATAAACCCCTGGACTGAGAATACATAGAATATTAAAAATAGACTCTACTCTTGGAATTATTTGCTTGTATGTACATGGAAAGCGATAGAGTTTATAGACAGTATGAATTAATTTGAATTTATTTATTGTATTTAAAAGTCTTTGTAGAATATGAATATAAAACCACCTTTAACTAGTTTTCATAGCAAACCTTTGGGCTAAATTATTTAGGTAATCCCGCTTCTTATAATACCAGTAGATTATTGTTTATTTTTCGAATGTTTTTTAAGTTGAATTGCCTCTTTGAATTTCAGAAAAAAAGCCAAGGTCCCTAAATTTCTGAAACAAAACTTTACAGTTCGATTTTCAAGGCTATTAAAATAACGTGAATATGTTTTGAATTTCTATCATAAAGAAATTAATCGATTAAAATTATCATCCGTAATACAACGATTTTATACAGCATGTTACGAAATAATAAATTAATTTTAAAATGTTGAATGGAAACCTAAGAATAATTGAGTATTAACATAATTTAATCTTCTATAAGTGCTGCCAATAAATAATTGCAGTACGCTAAAAGTATTTCAGTAAATTTTTTTTTTAATTTGAATCTTGTTCACAGAATTTTTTAATCTAAAAAAGTGCCACCACCGGCGACTATCGATATACCGCGCCCTGCGCAGTGTGCCCGTACGTTACGTATCGATGTATAAAAAATGTACAAAAATATATTTAATGTATGGGCGTAATTTTAATTACTTGTATGGATTTTAAATGTTTTTTATTAATTAGTTGACCAAGGCTTATATAATTAAATATATGATCACAATCACAAATAGTCAATAGTCAGTATTTTTATCTGAAACGCATTAAATGGTATCTCTAAATACAAACCAAATAAGAAATAAGATAATTAACCTGCTCGAATCTGGTCACATTTGTAAATTCGGATTGGAAAAGAGCGGAGGTGTCGAGATTTTGCGTCGGTTGAAGAATTCGCCTCTGATTTTCAGCTGCAAACCGGAACTCGAGCGAAACTGAACAAGTCCTGCTGCGTTGCCGTTTGTGCAATGCAAATGCGATAAAGCGCCGATCGCTGTGCGTGAGAGTACGTAAAGAGCTGTGGAAAATAAATAGCAAGTCCTGCGCGAAATGGGGAAAAGAGCGAGTGGCAGATTTTTTCTGTCTACCTACACAAACACACACACACATGCGCATATACCGAGTGGAGCTGTGTGCGTTTCTGTGTGTGTGCGGGAGCGCCGCAAAATAAAAACGGTTAAATCAAATCAATTGTGCAGTGTGTGACGAAGAAGAGCAGAAGCCGAAGTGAAGCTGAAAATGTTTGAATGCTAAAAAGATTTTAAATAGTGCTAGAAAATTAAAAAAGAGCCGCGCCCCGTTTGCTAAACGCCAACACACACATGCAAACCCAAACATACACGCACACACACTTAGTCAGCGCAACGACGGAGAGAGAGAAGAACGGAGAAGAAACAGAGGCTAAAAAGAGAAAAGTTGAAAGGCAGCAGCAGCAACAAATAGTTTGTTTAATTGCACGGGTTTTTTGTTGCTGTATTTATTTAACGCGACAACCAAATCAAATAGAGTATTAAAATTAAAGTTAAAGTAGCCCCCACTCTTCCTCTTTTCTGTGTGTGTGTGTGTATTTTGTGTTTTTTGTGTTCGTGCTCCTTTCGCCGTTTTCATTTGCATTTCTCTCCGTTTTCGCGAAAAGCAGCAAGCAGCAGCAAAGCAATTCTCCAGATCCAGAAGACAACACAACACACGAAATAGCAAATCAAAATGGCGCACCAGCAGCAACAACAACTGGCTCCATCGGTCAACTGTTCACTGGACGATATCGATCTGACGGCCCTCAAGGTGAGAATTTACTATTTTATCTCTCTGCGAGGGGAGAATCCGATCAGAGAATAACCCCCCGCCCATCATTATCCATTTTACACTCTCCATTCCCCATTCTGTGTTCGGTGTGTGCCCATTAGCACGGCTCGCCCAATTAACGGGAAAGTAGGTGTGTAGGTGTGGCATCACTCGCCATCCAATTTCCGTAAATAATGCGATCTTATTTGGGGCCATTAAATATCTTAAAAAGGGGGCAATTACAAATATTACATTAGATTTCTTCTAAAAGCTATTGACAAAAACGGAGTCTCAAAATTCACTTTTTACCAAAGGATATTGTTTATTGGTAAAAACCAACCCAGTCCAGAGACCTCATTAGTCCACTTATTTTAAGCTTTATAAAAGCTATTTACCAGTCTACAAATAATTGTTTCTTAATTTTTAACTAAAAGTGTTTTAGACCACCATTTCGCTAGCTCTAATAAAAATGTAATTTTGTTTGTAGCCTTAAACCGAATTTCTAAGCTGATTTGTCAGTTTTTTACTCTTTCAATTTGGGTTATTCATTGAAAAATTAAAGAATAACGATTCATAAATAACCCCTACGAAAAGATGTTCGCTCGATACCCCAGAAAATCTTATACAACCCGATTTCATTGGCCTTTGGCAGTCGAACCCTTGAAGGCTTCTTCCCCCACATTTATGCAAATTTGTTTAAAAGTACAACCAAGCGAAAATTCCCTTTGTGTGTTCGGCCTTTTTCGCACTTTGCCATGGCAACCGATATGAACCCTTGAAGAAAACATTTTTTTGCACCATTATTTAGCGCCCCCGCAGCAGCAATCACAATTATAATCAAGTTGATAAATGCATATTGGCATTTCGATTTCATTGCCCTGATAGAAAATCAGCAAAAAACCACCCACAAATTGTCACCCACCCCGTTTTTAATATTCTATACTCATACCAGTACGGGGGTATATCGTGTTCTTGGCCATTTAAGGTATAGATTCTTGAGTCCAAATATATCTGGAGGATTTTAATCTGAAAGATTCAGATTAATTAATCTGAAAGATTAAAAATATTAGTTATTTGAAATTTTGATTTGCTATCGATTGAAATGGCCCCCTCTTACATTTATATCGATAAGTTCATCACACCCTATAAAAGCAGAACTGTAAATATCAAGGTATTTCATAGTCGTGGCACTCCGATATTCTCATTTATTTTTTGGGGGAGAGTGTTTGGTGCGCAACTTTTGACCGGCCGGTGTCTCATCTTCTCAATTTTTTTTGTTTCTTTGCCTTGCGATTCGTTTCGTTTTGGTTTCTCAATGAATTTGTTGAGTCGCCCCCCTGTTTTCTCAGCCACTTCTCTGGTAAACCCCCCTTTGGGCGCACGCACTTGCTAACTTGTGCCGCATGCGTTTGTTGCCTTTCTCTTTCACCAAACACTCACCACTCTCACCACTGTCGACTCAAACTTGGAACTCCCAACTCGGCGGAACTCACCACGTTGGGCGCCTGCTCTTTTGCGCACCCACCGAAAGTGAACTAGTGTGTGTGTGTCCGTTTGTTGACTCTGCCGGAAAGTGGGTGGTGCTGGGCGGGGGGTAAAGGGGTGGTGCTTGGGTCGTCGCCTCGCTGATGTATAAATATATCTCAGTGTGCGTGTGTGTAGGCCACAGCTGTGGTCAATATAATAGCCTTAAATAGAGGCTTTCATTTAAACCACGAAAATCTATAGCTTTTAATTAATGTATCCTTTACTAAAATAATAATATTAATAATCTTAAAATCTCCATAGATATATGGTATACCAAAGGAAAAATATATTTAAGCAGCTTTCCTTTGTAAAAATGATTAAAATATTACAATAATCTCACAACCCTGGGCTAAGAAACGGGATAATTATGTCAAAATACTCAACGAAGCTTTAAAATTATAGAAATTGCTCTCCCATTTTCAAGTTCCACTATTTATCCTGAGCTTAAGCTGACATCCCAGACGCTCGCTAAAGTGCTATTATTTTGACCCCAACTGTTGGATCCGAGTATGTCTGTGCTTATATGAAAAATTGTTCATAGTCGATGCACAGCAGAGGAGACGAAGACGAGACAAAAACGAGACAAGAATGAAGAATGAAAATTGTTTAGTTTACTTTATTAAAAGGCAGCAGGCAGAGGCGAGCACAACATGCGTGCAGAAGCCAGTGTGTGTGTGTGTGTTGCAGCAGACAGCTTCAAGATGATGATAATGATGATAACAATGGAAATCATGATGATTCCTCGTCGGCTGCCAAGGAAAACGAGAATCCAAAGCGAAATCTGCAAAAATGGAGGAGAATTGTGTGGTGTGTCTTGTTTGAAGTGTTGTTTTTATTATTGTTTCTGCCTGCTTGGCCTTCTCTTTTCTTTGGCAAAAAAAAATTAAGGGGGAGGCGTAGGCACCGGTACCCCCGTCGCCTGCATGTCTGCCATGTTTTGTGACCTGTCTGTGCGTGGCTTTTAAAGGTCATTAAACACAATGAACCAGAGAGCAGAGAAAAGGGGAGAGCGCGTGGTTAAAATGTGTCCCGAAATAGAAAACGAGAGAAAAGGTCAGAGTCCTTAAAGCTCACTGTGCTCTTTATTATTTTCTCCTCTGTATTTTTAAGAGGCTTTCCGTTACGTTCTGGCTTTATTATTATTCCTGCGATAAGAGAAGAGTTCCATTCCCATTTCTTGGTTGCGATAAGATTACCGCAAGAACTGCATCCATCAGCAAATGAATTTCATTAATTATTTCTTTTTTGTTTAATGGCTGCTCCCCTTTTTATTTGTATTGGTAGTGCAGTTTCTTTTATTCTTCTCCTCTGATAAGCATTCAAACATCGCCGTTTGCCTCATTTTTTATTTTGGTGTGTGGTTCTTTCCACGTCTGAATTTTACACTACGAAAATATACAAAAGATAGAAAGTAAGTTTTTGAAAAAGCAAACTAAAAACAAAACAAATAAAATTATATATTGAAAGCTTTTCATTTCATTTATAATATTGATTTTAATGTATTAATATTTTTATTTTTTACGTAAACTATAGTATCAATTCGTTATTTTCAGTGTCTGTGTTTATTTTAATCAACATTTATTGCATTTCGTTAGCTGCGATAAAAACGTGTTCGCCCACATTTGTTCGGTTCGGTTTCCGTGTGTCTGCCGCCGTGCTGCAATTTGCCGAAGGAAACAGAAAACAACGCTAAAGAGTGGAAAAATATCCACACATGTTTGAATTTTAGTGTTTTTGTGGGTTAAATCAACATTGGCCCCGGGAAAATACTTTTTATAGTTCGGGTTCGGGAAGAGGCATCATCTCTCTGAGTGTCTGTTTATAGAGGCGAATTTCCCCAGAGCATTGGGAAATGCTAGTCGCCCTATAGTCCGCTATTCCATGCGGGGTGGACGGAACTGTTGTTGAAATCGCTTTTTCGAAAATTATCAGCTCTAATCACAGTTTGGTTCATTTGCTGCTGATACCTGAAATGTAGGTAAATGGGTTTTGTGACGTCAGCGTGGTATGCATTCCTAATTGAATTGGCCCCAACGGCCTACGGCCCACACAAATTAACTCAGCAGAAAGACATACTTTGGGGTTCACTGAGGAAAATGCGTTTTAGGGCATGACATTTCGGCAATGGCCTAAGTTTGTTTTGTATTTAATCTTGATATTTATATATAAAACGGTTCGAATATAAAAGGGTTGATAACTCAACTTCTTTAATTTTCAAAATATATAGGGTTTTAAGCAACTTTTTTTATGTTATTTCTCCAGAGATCTCAAAAGGAACCTCGGCAACTTTATTTTGATATTCTTAGTTGGCAAACTAGTTTTTCATATAATTTCCACTATAAAACTAGTAGTAAAACAGTTGAATTCATTTCCGCATCATAAACAGTTGATCAAATAATTTAAATATATATGTAAATATATTTTTTTCGTAGTGGAACCTGTACTGCATCTGCATAAGCCAGCACTCCATTGAAATGCATGGGCGTCCTAATATGCAGTCAGTCCTGTTTTTAGTAGCCACTCTCCTGCTCTTTGCATTTTTATTTTTTGCTGCTAACTGGGCCAAGCCTTTTGGTTGGAGACAGCTAGAGAGAGAGATTAGGAAGGGGGCTCTGCGCTTTTGGACTAACAAACAAACAAATAAAACAATAACAACAAACAAAGCAAATCAACAACAAAAATTCCAGTTTGCCAGGCCAAACAAACTGTAATAATGAAGCAACTAACCAAGGAGACAGGCGGCGACAAACTTCTTCCCAAAGTGTGGAATATAGTCTAGCTGGATTTTACAGTTTATTGCTATATTATAAAAAATTTAAGCACCGACTTGTTTAATTAATTACATTTAATTTTTGCTTATATGTAACTAAGGCAGGCTCCACTGTACTCGCGTTGGTCTGCATCTCGCTCTTTCGGCCTCCAACAGGCTGTGTTTAGTTTTTAGTTTTTTAGTCGTACCCGTTTGGACAAATACGAAAGACAAACAAAAGGCAAACTCGTGGATGAAACAGAGGGAGCACGGGACAGGGAAGGAGATTTCAAACCGAAAGGTGGATGGGGGACACATGTGGCGGCAGCTGGACAGTTTTTCCAAAGCAAGCAGGAATGAGCAGCAGCAGCAGCAACAACACAAGCAGCCTGTTTTGCCTGCTAAGCAGTAACTACTGCGGCTAACTGATAACTGTAAGAAAATCTACACAGCGAGAAAAAAATACAAATTCTTCAGAGAAAAGTACCATCGTTATATCTAGCTAACAAAGGCAACTTCCAATTTTAATATTTATAAAATATAAAATATGCAAAAAAATATTTTGGTGGGAAGAGTTGTAAGGGAAGAGCAAAATTACCCACTCTAAATCGGATTAAGACTATATAGAATTCTATACCTCAGTGTTATTCAAATATTCCTTAGAAAAGTCGATCTAGCCATGTACTAGTACTTTAGTACTTCCATTTAAAAAGAAAAAGTTATAGCGATAGTAATATTTTTCTTCTGCGTGTACGATCGCTGACCGCTGTCTAGAATTTTTCTAACGGCTACCTGCCCGCCGGTTTGGCCTTCTTTTTTCCCCCCTTCCGATCTCTGCTCATTTGGCTTGGATTTTGTTTTTGTTTTGCTTAACATGTCAACGTTAATGAGTCATGGAGCTGGAGCAGAGTCCAGCAGCAGATACTTTTCTCCCATCACTTCCACTCTCTCGCTATATTTTCCAGTTCTCCTTCATCAGTGAGTTCATTTTTCGTGAATTTTTAATTGATTTTTACAACGTGAAGTAATCAGCCATAAATAGCAGTAATTGCCGCCACAATCCCGCACTCTTCCCCCCAGCATGTTCTCTTTGTTTGTTCCCTGTGGTCTCCTCTCTGCTTCTCTTTCTCTCAATCCCCCTTATCGCTGTATGCCCTTTGCATGTGTTTGACACACTTTTCGGGGGTTTGGGAGTCGGGGGAAAAAAAAAGGGGGAGAGAGAGAGAGAAGGGGAATGGTGGGTTGCAGGCATAAATCTACTTAAAGCGGCTTCCATAGTTCTTCAGTATTCCACCATCTCCCCATCCATTTTATATATTTCCCCCTATTTGTTTATTTGCCCTGCACTTTTTTCGTATTTTTTTATTTTACTTTTTCTTTTCTCCTTTTTTTTTTGGCTCTGTTGACGCTTTGTCTTTTGGTCTTTAATTCCTTTGGTGTTGCCCCGGAAAATGATGAGGAAAATCTCTTGGGGGGAGGTTGGAAAAGTCTGCGGTCTTGCGTTTTGATGGGGATTAAAGCTTAATAAAGATGACAGCTTATGGTATACCATAAATCAATCTAGTTCTGTCTATTCTCTGTAGACATCGATTATATGCGGATATGTGGGGATTATCCAAAACTTGTATGACTTCAAATCAACCTCCTTTCGAGTTCCTCAACTTTACTTGTTGTGGAACTTTGAGTAAACTGAATTGGGAGCAAACTAACTGCACTTTAGTAACTTCTCTTCTTCGGTATTTGTTGAGAAACACACTAAATGAATTCTACACGGAAAGAAAATTTCAAGCATTGTAATTTAAGAGTATTTTCTATTGTATAATACATAAAAGAATTCTTAAATCTATCCTTAAACCAAAAATAATAAACCAATAAACAATATCTAGAATATCTTATATCAATTATTTTAATTAAATTCTGGCACAATGTAACATTCCAAAGAATAACCGAATCAATCTTATATAATTAATGAGGAATCAATTTTGTATTGCGTGACTAGAATTCCTTAAATTGTGTGTTAATATTTGTTGCCCTAGGATAATGAGGAAATAGCGAAAATAGTTTCTTAAACCATAACCTATATTTAATCGATATTTATTTCTTTGTCTGTACTTCTTGGCGCTGTCTCTGCCCACCCAAAAGAAAGGAAACCCCTTAATTTGTTCCCTTACTTGAAGCGTCAATTGAGGTTGTCAAAAAAGTCAGTTACCTGTTGAAATTCCGGGCGATGTTGTTGTTATTTTAATTGGCATTTGCCTTACCTTACCTGTCGTTCTGGCCATCGTCTTTGTAATCCCAAATCCCCCGAACCTGCGCTCCAATAAAAATAGAAAGCATTGTATTTTGTGTGTGTGTGTGTGTGTGTGCTCTCTGGTGCTTCCCTCCTCCTTTTCCCAGCTTTTTCACGCCCCGTGTCACGGGTTGCGTGTCAATGAACTCGCATGCAATTTGTATGGCTTTTTGGGATGGGTTGGGAATGGGAATCGGAGTCGGGAATCCGATTTGGAATTTCGAAATCGAGGATTTTTATTTTTAAAGCGATGCCTCGGCGTCTTGTCTCTCCTTATTTGTATTGTTATGCCTTAATAATTTGTTTACAAACAACAAAAACAAGGGAAGAGAACGAACTCGGGCATGTTCGTGTTTAAAGGTTGTTTAAGTGGTACCAGAACCCGCAAAGAGGGATTCAAGGGGTTTTCGAGTGTCTGTGTGTGTGTAGTTCTTTGTTTGTTTTTGGCAGCTGGCAAAAATAAAAACAAAAACCCCTACTAAAACTCTCAAAATAAAAAAAAAGGATTTTATTTGGGCGTTTCCCGCATTGATTTTCCCAAGCACATCTCTTACATACGTTCTCTAACATTTATCTTGTCTCTTTCCAGGATCCAGCTGGCATCTTTGAACTCATCGAAGTTGTGGGCAATGGCACCTACGGCCAGGTCTACAAGGTAAGCGCCCATGTTTATGTTTACTATACATATCTCTATCGCCGGGATTTTCGTGGCTATTTTTAAGGCCATCATCCCATCCCATACACATTCGTGTTGAAGTCTTTACGGCTTTCTTTTCATAAGCAAATTTTCGCATATTCGCCAATGCGAGGGGAGAGCAATGATCTCAGATGTTTTTCTTCTGAGAGTCACTTAGTCTCTTTATAATTAGCAATCGTTAAAGTTTATGCTTGACTGCGTTTCGCTTTAGTTTTTTCTTTCTATACCCTTACGGAGGGTATTTAGCATTGTGAACACAGGTTGGTAGGTTATAGATCTCTTGAAATTATTTTTATAATGTTACTGGTATTCTTTGGGGTTTACAGTACAGATTTAGGAACCTTATATCTTGAAGACCCTTACTACTATAACTTTAAAGTTTGCAAAGATAATCCATTTAAATTTAGGATGTGGTTCTTAATAAAGTTTTTATTAAGATTTGTTAAGAAAAAAATAAATTAATCCTTACATTTTCATAAAAACCTTGTTTAAATTCTTCATAAAAATTAAAAAAAAAGCGTATAAACTCGATCATATACGAAACAAGTTCTATTCCTTTTTCGTATCCCTATTGTTTTGGTATTTTGCGGATGTATCAAAATGTATCTAAGTATCTGAATCCGTGTGTGACGCCCAAAAAGACAAGCGGTCTCCCGTTCTGGTCGCTTTAATTAGTTTAGTGTCCGCTATGTTGTCTAATAACTTGCAGCGAACATAACACAAAACACAGCAACAACAACAACAACAAAATGACTACAAACACACAAAAATGCCGGCAACACGACGACCGCGACTTCTTCTCACACATTAACACATTTTTCTGGCTTTTTGCCTGTTGGGGTAATAAAACAACAACAACAAACACAACACCAGGAATCATCATCATCATCATCATCATAATAATCACAGAGCAAAGATTTGAAATGCTTGTGGCTCTCTTTTGCTTTCGGGAAAAACAATGCCTTGACTTTGTGCTTGCATTTAAATTATAAGTTTAAAAGATACAACTATGCGGCGGCAGTACAAAAATAGACATTGCTTTTGTAAATTACCGTTAGTCGTTGGATAAAGTCTATAGAGAAAAACTGGGAAGCCAGCCGAAAGATTGAGGAAAAAGTGAGGAAACTGAAAAGTGTGGCATGCGCCGCTTGGGAGGCCAGTCGCTGGCAGTCGTCGTAGATGTTGCATGTTGCTGTTGCTGTGTTGCAGTTGCACTTTGTGGGGGTCGCCAGCGGCAATGGCAGCTCGGTGATGAATGCAACCAAATTGAGTTGCAGCCGCCGCCGCCTGGATTTGCTGCTCTCGCCTCAAGTTGTTGTTTATCGCCTCTGCCAGATTCCAAAGTATTTTTATACCCTCGAAGTGGGTAATTTGATTGAAGCATTAAGTCGGAAAGAAGCAATGAACCGCAGCTTGGCTTGGAAATAAATAAAATTCCTTCTCTGTATTTTTATTTAAAATAGATGCAATAACATTTTGTCTTGGGTATTTCTTGTATTTTATTGGTTCCTTGGGAGATTTTGTCTTTTGTATCCTATTGCGGGGTTTTTTATAAATATCAGAAACCATTTTGTATATAAAGCCTTTAGATAAAGGTTTGTTTTCTTTAAAAATTGCCTGAATGTAGAGTATCTAATTTAAGATATTCTAAATAAGTCATAAACTGTTAATGATGCTTCTGAAACAATTAACACAGTTCCAGGGTACTTATAATTTCACCATATTTGACCTTAAAGTTGTTAAAGTTGTTGATATGCATATAAACTTTGTGCTAACTGACTTAATCATCGTTGATTTCAAATATGTGAAGAATGAGTAATCAAACGCGGAAAGTGGTTGCGGAGAAATATTCAAATTTGCCTAAGTAAATTAATTTCCATTTATTCAATTTCTAGAAATGACCAGCTCTCTTTCACATTCTTCTATATAAGGCTGTCTCTTTAAGGCTTAAGCTCTATCTCTACATTACACCATTTTATGAAATTTCATGCAGTCAATCAATATAGAAAACATATCTTTAATTTCATATAGATTTATGACCCACAAAATTTGCCAAAGAAATGCCTGTCAATTGGTTTTCGCCTACACTTTTCGATTGAGTTGAGGTTTCTAGGGTTTCCATATTGGGAAATAATTTGTAGATGAAATTTCGGTACACAGAAAAATATTAGTGATATGATATTATAAGAAATATATAAAGAAATATTAGAAAGAATTTAATCGTTATTATTTTGCATTAAAAGTTAAGAATATCACCAGTTGGGAATTCCAAGAAACGCTAAATGCATCAGAGTTCAGGAAAGTTTTAAAATAAAACTTTTTAAAGATAAAAAGTATTGAGTAATTTCCGTTCCATTCCTGCCTGATAATTAGAATATCTTGTACGAATTCTCTGAATTTCATACTTTTCGCTCTGTGTACTCTCTAAAAAAAAACTTGTTAACTCAACTCGGCGACGACTTTGACGCTTTAAGTAGTTCATTATACTGCCGCCGCGGCCTGCACATCTGTGTGTGAAATTAGCATGAGTAATGCTCAGATACTTTCTGTGGCCATATCTCAGTATCTGTATCTGTGCGTCTTTGTGGTTCTGCGACTGTATCGGTATTTGTATCTGCATGTGACTAGAACTTGGAGTTTAAAAGTAACGGATGGTATCCAGCCGTCGTCCACTTGCTCGGTTTCTGTCTCATTTCGATGGCATTTATTTGGCTGTGGTTTTAGCTGATTGACTTGACTGACTGACTGATTGACTGACTGGTCAACCGGTTTACATTCGTTGCGGCTGCTGCCGCTGAGCCTCGATTATGGCCACCTTTTTCGGCCCCGTCCGTCAGCTTATCAAACGTCACAATGTTGTTGGCCAATTTTCGCCATTTGGCCTGTTGCCTGCTTAATCATAATTTCAGTTTGGCCCGATGTTTATTATTATTTTTTTTCTGGTATTTCGATGAGAATTCCACTCAATAACGAATCTCTGCTTCGGCGTGACTTAATTTTATTTCTGCGAATCTGAATCTTTTTCGCTAAGCTTCTTTGATTTATGATTGCCTTGCAACGCTTTGTTTAATTTGCGTTTATTTGTCCGCCTTTCTCGTGTTTGTTTTGTTTTAGGGCACTTCCGCTTTATTAATAACTTGATACTGCGCTTCTGAAATGGCCGTTTATCGCAGCTAATACTTGCTGGGACCCAACTGTCACTCTCTGAGTCACTATATAGTATATGTTACTGGTCAGAAGGGGGGTAGGGAGGGAGATTGGAGGAACCGAACCACATGCGGTTCCAGGGAACACGTACAAGTGCAACGTGTTAACGGCTTTCTGTCATGTGTGCACTGATTTTTATATATTTTTCTTCTATTTTTCTTCTATTTTTCTTTTTTTTTTGGGAGCGGGGGAGTGTCTGACTTTAAACGTGGTCAACTGGAAATTGTGCATAACGGACACAAAGTTCATAGACAAGGCAAAAGGGAACTTGGATAAGTTGGTAAATGCAAGAAAAATGAACTTCTTAACATTGTCTAATATATATGTATTTTCTTAGTTACACAAACTTAGTTTCTTTGTTGAAAAGTTTATGGTGAAAAAGAAAACTTGGACAAAACTTGGTAGATAAGAAATCAACAAATGAGTAAACTTTTATGTCTATCAAGCAGTAAAACTAATATTAAAATGAATTAGTCTGTTGTAGGCTCAGCGAATTAAATTATAACTTAACGTAATCGGCGAGCTAGTCATAAATGATGATTGAGCATCTAAACAAAGAATACAAAAACTTGATTTTGGATGGTTTCAGGCCCAGAGGCATTATTTTATAGTTGTAAGTTGGAAAAAATGTTAATAAAAATTTTAAAGTATTTAAATCCTGATTAATAACAACTAATCTTTGAGGCTTGTCATGAGTATTAAGCTCAAAATTTAAAGATTATATCCCCTACAAAATCTGAAGTCAGAATCTATGTTTTTAATATGTTTCTTGCTAATTCCTCTAATTTCAAGCTTCTTAAAAGTGCTTAAGAATTAATTAATCTGTTGTGTTAATCTGAAATCAGAACTCATAGTTCCCAAGTCAACATTTGTAGTCAGTCTATTCTTGGATGATATAAAATCCAAGCAAAACAAACACACAAAAACCCAATTTCCGCAATGTTTATAAATATTATTTTTGGGGCTTGGCTCCCGTTAGGTTTCCGCCCACGCAACGTAACAAAACTACGGCTATAAAACAACAGAAATCAACAGCCCACAGTTGTCGTGTAATTAACATTTCTCATAGCTGGGCGAACTTTGACCCAATTATGGGGAATGCGCGGGAATGGATCGCGGAACAGGAGGCGGAGGCGATGGCGATGGACTCCAGTTCGGAGACAGACGACAAGTGCAGACAGAGCAAGACAATACATATTTATGAGCTAGACATGATAATAAAGCACGCAAGCAAATAAATGGGAAAAAAATGCTCTTAAATGTGTGTGTTTGCGCAGGCGCAGCCAGGCAGAAAGCACCACAAGAGGAGCTGGCAAAAACTGCAGCAGTCAATAAAATAAAATAAGAAAAAGAGAAGAAAAAAAAAAACACGACAGGCGAGCAACGACGAAACATGCAAAATACATTAAAGCCAATATACAAATCAAGCAGGAAGCATCAGCACAAGTAAGCTCCAAGCGAGCAATAGGAAAAACACAAAGGAAAGAAACTACGGCAGACTTCAGACCCATAAAAAGACACAGCAATTAGTGCACGAGTACCCCAAAAAACATAAAAGGCTCTCTCAATGTCACAAAATAAAAAAAAAACTAATTATTACGCAAATTGTATTTGTTTGGTAGACTCCTAAAAACATTTAACAAACACAAGTCATTGACTCGTTCCCAGAGTGCTGGTACACTTGAAGAAAACGTAGTCAAGGGGAGGGGATTTTCTGGTAAAACTCACTACAAAATAATTATTTAAAACAA